GCCATCCCGGACAGCGCGCGTCATCTAACGGGCTTCCAGCTGTTCAGAGCGGACCGAGTCGTCGAGGAAAACGAGAGGTGGTGGATTATGTTTTAATATCAACGAAGGCTGGTGTACAGACATGACGGTTTTAAAGAAGATGTGCTGCCCAAACTTGGAAGCTCTCTTTATTAACTGTAAGCCTTTTTATTCACCGTGGGCGTTCTCCTCGTTTATTCTGGTGAGTGCGTACATTCCTCCTGACGTGTGTGTGAACGTGGTGCTAGAACTGTTGGCCGATCAAATTACATACACACAGCAGCGTTATCTTATCATTATCATTCTCTGAGATTTTAATAAAGCTAATCTCACCCGTGAACTGCCTAAATATAAACAGCACATCACGTGCCCCACCAGAGACAGCAATATACTGGACCACAGCTACACTGTTTTAAAGGATGCATACCACTCTGTCCCCCGAGCAGCGTTGGGACTCTCTGATTTGGTTTGGTTCATCTTCTACCAGCCTACAGGCAGAAACTCAAATTTGGTAAGTCTGTAGTAAAAACTGTAAAGACATGGACTGTTGAAGCAGAGCAGGATTTACAGGCCTGCTTCGAACTTACTGATTGGAGTGTTTTTGAGGCTGCAGCTACTGATCTGGATGAGCTTACTGACACCGTGACATCCTACATTTGTTTCTGTGAGGACATGTGTGTACCCACCAGGACTTATTTAACATTTAACAATGACAAACCTTGGTTCAGTACAAAACTCAAACAGCTTTGCAAGGCCAAAGAGGATGCCTACAGGAGTGGGGACAAAGACTGGTACAAACAGGCCAAATACACACTAAATAGGGAGATAAGAGTAGCAAAGTTAAACTACTCTGGAAAGCTAAAAAACAGCTTTTAAGCAAAGACCCTACATCAGTGTGGCAAGGCCAGAAAGCCATCACTAGCTACGAGACCCCATCCCCCAGCACTGAGGCCAGTCAACAACTGGCTGAAGTCCTGAACAAGTTTTACTGCAGGTTTGAAAAGCAAAAGCCTGGTCTGACACCCCACACCCACTCGACCGTCTCACAACACAGCCATCAACACCCTCCCCCCCTACTGTTTCTCAAACTGTACTCAAGATCTGTGAAGATGATGTAAGCAAAGTCTTCAGGAGACAGAAGATAAGGAAAGCCAAAGGCCCAGACGGTGTCTCCAGCCTGCCTCAAAGCCTGTGCTGTCCAGCTATCATCCATCTTCACATTGATCTTCAACAGATCACTGGAGCTGTGTGAAGCCCCCTCCTGCTTCAAATGCTCCACCATCATCCCCGTACCCAAGAAACCAAAAATCACAGGACTTGATGACTACAGACCTGTTGCTTTAACGTCTGTGGTGATGAAGTCAATTGAGAGACTGGTGTTGGCCCACCTGAAGGACATTACTGGACCCTTGCTGGACCCCCTGCAGTTTGCTTACCGAGCAAACAGGTCTGTGGATGATGCAGTCAATATGGGACTGCACTACATCCTGCAACATCTGGACAAACCAGGGACTTATGCAAGGATCTTGTTTGTGGACTTCAGCTCCACTTTCAACACCATCATCCCGGACACCCTTCAGAATAAACTGACCCAGCTCTCTGTACCCACCTCCATCTGTCAGTGGATCACCAGCTTCTTGACAGACAGACAGGCAGCAGCTAGTGAGGATGGGAAAACTCGCATCCAACACCTGCACCATCAGCACTGGAGCTCCTCTGGGCTGCGTTCTCTCCCCACTGCTTTTCTGCCTCTACACTAACGACTGCACCTCTAAAGATCCCTCTGTCAAACTCCTGAAGTTTGCAGATGACACTACAGTCATCGGCCTCATCCAGGACAGCGACGAGTCTGCTTACAGACGAGGTTGAGCAGCTGGCTTTCTGGTGCAATCACAACAACCTGGAGCTGAACATGCTCGAAACTGTAGAGATGATAGTAGACTTCAGGAGAAACCCCCCTGCACTCCCCCCACTCACCATCATGGACAGCACTGTGGCTGCAGTGGAGTCATTCAGATTCCTGGAAACCACCATCTTACAGGACCTGAAGTGGTACACTCACATTGACTCCATCGGGAAAAAGGCTCAGCAGAGGTTGTACTTCCTTGAACTGAAAAAGTTCAACCTGCCACAGGCACATATGCCACAGTTTTACTCAGTTATAGAATAGCACAGAACCGACTCAATAACAGCTGTCTGGTTTGGGTCAGCCAGCAAATCAGATACAAGAAGACTGCAGCGGACTGTTAGGACAGCAGAAAGGATCATTGGTGTCCACCTGCCCAATCTTCAGGACTTGTACAACTCCAGAGTGAAGAAACGGGCAGGTAACATCATCAAAGACCCCTCCCAACCCCGGACACAACCTGTTTGCAGTTCTCCCCTCAGGCAGATGCTACAGATCTCTGTGCACTAGAACATTTAGGCATAAAAACAGTTTTTTCCCCCATGCCATCTCCAGCCTAAACAAGCTAACACAGGAATTATTACTTGTGTTCTGTAATTCATTCTCCATCTCTAATTATTGCCTCTCTCTCAAGTACTATGCAAATACATACACACATTTTTTATACAGCTGTATATATGGAGTAAATAATGCACAAATCTGTACATAAATATTCTGTTCCAGATTCATACACATTATTATTTATTGTTAAGTCTTATTTAAATAGTTCTGTTCTCATGTCAGATATGTATGTATGTATGTTAGGGATGTGCATCTCCATTACTGAGGCAGATGCGATACGCATCTCGATGCATAGCCAATGATATGATACATTGAAGATACATATGAAGTAGCTAGCGATGCGATACGATTCACCCCTATTACGATGCAGTGCGATCCGATTTCGATGCAATGGAAAAAATATGATTGCATTTATTTCTTTGGTTCAGACAGACAGCAAATCATAAATTACCTTATGTGTCTTCTGACTTCTAACGCCTCGAGGCCTGTTTCATAAAACAAGTTTACCAAATATGCCAGGCTTATTTCAGTTAGCATGACTCACTGTCAAATGATTTGGTTCCATAAAACAAATTTAACAAAGATCAAAATCAGTCACTGTGGCACCTTATGCTGGAAAGCTAACCTGGTCCAGGGCAGGCAAACTGTCAGTCTAAGCTGAGCTCCTCTAACACTGAACAATAGGAATGCATCGATATTACCACTGACTCTCTCACATACTATCATAGCCATGCAGCCTTTTTCTCTGGTTTTATGACAGCTGTACCTTTTATAGTTAGAGCAGATAGCATTAGAACTTTACAATCTAACATTGCTCTTTAAAGCATTAAAATCACTAAACTATAAGTTCTAAATTAAAAACTAATCACTTAAATTAAAACTACATTTTAACTGCTATAAGAAACACACATTAAGTAGTAATTAAGTAGTAAGCTTAGTAATTAGGACTGTATTAACTTACATTTTATTTACCCATTACAATAGTCCCTTTATAGGTTCTCTAGGTGGTTGAGCAACAATGACCTGTGAGTGGTAAGTTCCCGTTCTGGTTCGGCTAGTACTAGCCAGTCATCGTGGTAGTTCAAAATGCGGATTCCCATCTGCCTCAGGGGAGAAAGAGTCTATGCACTTCGTAAATGTGCACTTGTCCAGGGACTGTACTGGCATTTGCGATAGCAGACCCACATACATTTGTTGGGGCACATACTGAACTTGCAGGACGTGCCCTGTTAAAACACCTCCACTGCTCAGAAGTGAACGAGGTGGGGAATGATCATGAGCTTTCTTTGAGGGGGTTCCAGCATCGGAGAGAACTGGCCCTCTCCTCTGCCTCTCTAAATGCAGATCAGGACGACTTCTGAGGCTCTGGGTCAGCGCTACGCAAGGGCAATGACCTTGGCGCTTCTGGAAGGGGTACTTCCTGGCTGTCCGGGGGCACTGTAGAAGCCCAGGCTCTGGCTTAGGCAGGGGTTGGGAGTGCGCCGGCTTTGCAGGCTGCTGTGTGGACACTGTCTTGAGGCAGCTTGAAACAGTCGCCGGGCTGGGGCGCTTAGGCAGAAAATGACGCAGCGCCTGCAACGTCTTTTGTGGCTCAGTGAAGCGCTCCATGAATTCGTCCACGGCAGGGCCGAATAGTCCCTTTGGAGAGACTGGGGACTCAAGGAAAGCCATTCTCTCAGCGTCCCTTATCTCCATCAGGTTTAGCCATAGGTGGCGCTCCAACACCACCAGATTGGCTATGGCCTTGCCTACTGCCTGCATCGTCACCTTGGTAGCGCTAGGATCACGGCCAGACTCGTCCATGTCACAGAAAAGTTTGGCCTGAAATACCTGTTGCACAGACATCGTATGCAGGGCTGAGCCAGCTTGGCCAGCCACTGCATAAGCCCTATTGGCCAGAGCTAACGTCATCTCTCGGGCTTAGACTTAAAAACACTCTTAACGCCCACATAACGCCCCATTTTACTCAACAAGGAAAATATTGAAGTCCACATGATGATTCACATTGGAAAGAAGCCTTTCACCTGCCAACAGTGTGGAAAATGTTTCAATTGTAAGACTTGAAGAACCTCAGACACCGGCATCTGTTCTGACATCTCACTTAGAGAAGATGTGAGTAAAAAAACCTTCTCACCTTTCATTTTCATCCACTTCCTTCCCCTCACCCATCTCTCCTCACTCAAAATGGTCAATAGCAAAATATAATGTTCTACATGGAATGCAAGTGATCGTTTGACACACACAAAGGGATTAAATGAAAATGTAATATAGTTTTCTATCAGTTTAAAACCTGATTTAAAAAAAATAAGTATAGACTGCATTATTGAGTTTAAAGGGAGTTCTGGTGCCATCGCAGAACTCAGTCAATGAGCTCATGCTGAACTGAAGTAATTGACAGTTCTAGTGATTATAAAGAGAGCACTCTTTGTTCACTTTGATTATCATGTTTGATTATTTTCATTTGTGTATATTTTTTTACACTTTCCCTAAATGCCTATTTCATATCTATAGGCTTATAGGATGCTGCATAAACTTTTCCTTCAAACTTATAAGGAAAAGATGGCAAATAATAAGTCAGTGATCCAGAGTTTTCCATTTAAACCCATCACACTGGTTCTGCCAGTATTGTTCACTTCCTCAACGTGAGCAATGACATGCATCCACGTCCACAAGATGGAGGTAAGAGAGTGAAAATTTGAAGTTAAACGCTGTCCTGGAATATGCCAATAGTATTTTACATGTCTCATACCAATTTCAGGTCTTAGGCTACGTTCACACTGTAAGCATTAGTACTCAATTTGATTGTTTTTTCTATTGTTTATGTTCACTTGAGACATAACTGACTGCATTTAAGTGAAAATTCACTAAGAAGGGTATTTGATATTTTTGAGTGTATTTGTTGAGTTAAGTACACACCCTAAGCAGTAGCCTACTTGCCTGTGTTTCACACGGTCTCAGATTGCACACAAGGAAAGTCACTATGCTTTAAATGACAGGAACAGAATGCAGCATTGTGTTATCATTACTGCTGGAAGCCAAAATAATACAATGAAACTAAGATTCTATTAATTGCACCGCAGCAAAGGGGCCCCTGGTGGTTCGAGGGTCGTACACAACTTACGTACTTTGCGTATAGGGAGGACTGGCACTGATGAAGTGTCTTTAGTTTCAGATTGAATTTGGCCAATGCTGTGGCCAGTAAATGCTCATTCTTTTTGCAGTCTGTTCTCAGACTAAGATGATGCAGACAGTGGTCACTGTGACTAGTAAGTGCTCTAGCTGCTGTGTTAAACTGGTGTTAACTTGTATTTGTCTCTTTTCACCTTAGACTTGATGGTGCTGAAAGAGGAGAGTCAAGAACTGAATGAAACCGAAGAGAAATATCAAAATGATAAACACTATGATTTCAAAACTGAAGAAAAATCAGTTAGTTGCTCACAGACTGAAAAGACTTCCTCACCAAAAAAAGCTAAAAAATCACGAAGTACAAACCTTAATGTCCACATGAAAACTCACACTGAAGAGAACCCTTACACCTGCAAACTGTGTGGGAAGAGTTACACACGAAATGGAAGTCTTAAAACTCACATGAAAATTCACACTGGTGAGAAACCTTACACCTGCAAACTGTGTGGGAAGAGTTACACACGAAATGTAGATCTTAAAACTCACATGAGAACTCACACTGGAGAGAGACCGTTCATATGTGTTCAGTGTGGAAAGAGTTTTATACAGAAAAAACTCCTTAATGTCCACATGAAAGCTCACACTGGAGAGAAACCTTACACCTGCAAACTGTGTGGGAAGAGTTGCACACGAAATGGAGATCTCAAGACTCACATGAGAACTCACACTGGAGAGAGACCGTTCATATGTATTCAGTGTGGAAAGAGTTTTACACAGAAAAAATCCCTTAATGTCCACATAAGAATTCACACTGGAGAGAAGCCTTTCACCTGCCCTCAGTGTGGAAAGAGTTTCAGGATCAAAGATATCCTACAGACTCACATTAGAAGTCACACTGGAGAGAATCCATTCACATGTGATAAGTGTGGAAAATGTTTTAGATATAAAGAAAACCTTAATTATCACATGACGATTCATTTAAGAGAGAAGCGTTTTAATTGTCATCAGTGCGAAAGGAGTTTCACAGACACGAATCACCTTAAGAATCATGTAATAACTCACATTGGAGAAAAGCCTTTCATGTGCCATCACTGCGGAAAGAGTTTCTTAAGAGAAGGAAGCCTCAAGGATCACATGAGAATTCACACTGGAGAGAAACCTTTCACCTGTGAACAATGCGGAAAGAGTTTCAGGGTTAAAGGAAACCTTAAGTTCCACATGAGAGTTCACACAGGAGACAGACCTTACAAGTGTCTGCAGTGTGAGAAGAGTTTCAAAAGTCAAAGCAGCATGAAACGTCATTTGAAAACTCATTCTGGGAATAAATTGCCATTTTCCTCAGAGTCACAAGAGGTTTAGAAAAAGAAACCATTTTTACAATCATCTGTACATTCATTCTGGAAGACAATTCAATTGTGGTCAAGAGTAGAAAAAATATGTTTTGCCATCACACTTATATGGAGCCAGAATGATCTCAAGAATAATTCATGCAAAAGACTCGATGCACACATGCATGAGAAATAATTCACGTGCATGAAATATATATATATATATAGGAGGACAGAGGAGCATCTTAAAGAATAAGTTACAGGTCTGTGAGAGCCAGAACTCTTGCTTGTTTGTAGGTGACCAAATACTTATTTTCCCGAGGAATTTACCAATTAATTCTTTAAAAATCCTACAATGTGATTTTCTGGATTTTTTTTTCTCATTTTGTCTCTCATAGTTGAGGTATACCTATGATGAAAATTACAGGCCTCTCTCATCTTTTTAAGTGGGAGAACTTGCACAATTGGTGGCTGACTAAATACTTTTTTGCCCCACTGTATATATATTCACAAAAACCAATTCACGTGCACAAAAATAAGAATATATATTCATAAAATACGTTTCACAAATGCAAAACACAATTCACAGATGTACAACTGTGTACAACATTTTTTAATGTTAAAAATTCACGAGTTTATCTCGGGCTGTGAATGTGAATCGCTCTGGATTTGTGTGTGGATTTTGAGACTCAACATCTGGATGACTTGATCTCTTTCATGTACATCACATTGATTTATGTATTAATTTCTTAATGTAATCAACATTCATTTACTTTTCATATTATATTACTGTGATTAACCATTGTTAATGTTATTCTTGTGATGAGATTACAATACACAACATAAGACGATTTTGGTAAGCAGCAGTTGTATGTGCTTGGTAACAGTTGTGGAATTTATGCTGGTCAGACAAAGACTGATCATAAAGAAGAATGCAACAAAGATTATTCAATAATCTTTATTCAGTTATTTGATCACTTTATCTCATGCTTTCTGCTCTTTCTGTATCTGCATCTCTCGTAAATATATAAGAGTTAACATGCCAAGGTGTTAACTGTTAAAATCTAAGAGTTAACTTGCCAAGGTGTTAACTGCTTTGAATATCAGACCAAACCCTGGCACGTCCTGACAGAGAGAGAGATAGTGAAAGACTGGAACTTAAACATTTGATTAATTGATTTTTCACATGATGTAGTACACTGATACAATTATCATTCAGCTATAAAATGTACTTTAAAAGAATGCCAAAGACACTAAATGGGACACTATACCAGCCATTCAATGTAACTGAGGTTTAAATACTGGTGAACTTCTAGCACAGCGTCAAACTGGTATCGAGCCAATGTCAGACCTATGCGAGAGACATGTTCAACTGTGCTACGTTTGTACTCCATAATTGTCAATTCATATTTCAGGCACATTGGGAATAAAATGTCCATGAAATGACCTGACCATGATTAATTGCAAAGTATTTAGAAAACTTGAATAAATTTTATACAGCAACTGTAATGACTTGTTTTGAATGTTTTAATTCTGA